CCTTCAGCTGCTGTTCCAACGTGGTTTTATCCGTTTCACCTGCAGAGAAAACATCAGCTGTCAGAGCAGAAACTGAGACTCCAACACAGCAATGAACCAACAGATGTGTGTTCTGCAGGCGAAACGATCAGAAGCAAAAAAGCTGTTTAACATCAGCTTAGGGAAATATTTCCACTACAGGCTACATTTAAATTACACTTTTTAGGACAGAAAATATGTTTTTCTGTTGATCATCCACAGAGTTAGCAGCATGCTATGACTTCACCCATCACATGGTCATCCACCCACTATGTCAAAACTGCAGAAAATTCTAACTGGCCCAAAAAACTGGGGCGCGATGCAGTTTCCAGGGCGTGTAGACAAACTCACCTGTGACTGTGAGGTTGATGAAGTGACTGATCTCAGTGTGAGCTCTTTTACTTCTCACAGGGTTCCTCACAGCTACGTGACACTCATAAATCCCAGTGTCATTAAACGTGACCTTCTTCAGGATCACAGAAACGTCTCCATCCTTCATCTCCGGGTCCCTCAGCTTCACTCTTCCATGAAAAGATGGATGTTGGTAGTTTTCATAGAAGCGTTTGTTCCTGTAGAAGTAGACGTAGCCGTCTGTGTTCAGGTCAGCTCTGCTCCACTTCAGCACCGAGATTCTTTCATCTGTGGAAATCTGACACTGAAGTGTGACGTCCTCTCCAATCTTCGCCTGCACATCCTGCTGCAGAGCTGAAGAAAAGAAAATAATCAATCTTTTTTTTCCCACTGTTAGAACAGGATATTTAAAATTGAACACACCACAGTTGATCCAAAAAAACACTGATATGATGTCAGAGGAAAAAGGGTGTTTGTGTTTCCACACATCACAAGTGTGAAAATGTCACGGAAACTTTTTTTTCCATCCAGTGCAGGCAGATTTTTGTTTTTAAATGTCTAATAGTACACCGAGATATCTTGAACATGATCATTGTGTTTTATTTATTTAGTTATTGTATTTATTAATTTACATTTAGCATTTGTGTAAAATAAAAGTACATTTTCAACCTCTGTGGCTGTAAAAACAAGCCAATCCTGAAGCAGAACAAAATGCAGTGCCTCTAATGTTCACTTACAGCTTCAAAAGAGACTGTTCGTATTAACTATTATCTTAGAACGGCAAAATAAGCAGTCTACAGACTTTAAACTGTGTCTTCGTACCTAATTTCCCCCTTTCTAATAACTGTATATGAATGTTGCCGAGGCTAGAAAGGAGGAAAACACTTGATTAACGCGGACCTAACAGAGGTGGTTATACCTGCCCGCAAGGCTTCACCTCAGCTTTTGTCTGTGATCACGGAGTCCATTTGAACATATGTGTTAAACATGATCCTATTATTTGAAGTTGTTCAGGAGATATCATGTTCACAATAAGATAAATCCTCTGACCACAGGTTCCAGCTCAGTGTGAGTCGGTAAAAGTCCTTCACCAGTTTTTCCAATTGGATTTAAAGCACTCGTGAACGATATTAGCCCAGATAATGAAACATTATCATCAATAAAACACTCCTCTTTGATATTATTTTGTCCTCTGATACCAAGCATGTGATCACAAATGCCTCGTAAGGCTGTCAGATGGTTTTCACCTGAGCACACATCTATGATGATGTGTTTGATGTCCCTCTTTGCTTTAAACTACCTCCTGCACAAAAGACAGTGACTGATGTCAGACGCTAGACTTTGTTGAACACTCTAAAAAATGAACTTAATCATGGAAAGGATTTCCACATTTCATCAAATTGGAATAACAGAATTGCATAATGCTAAAAAAATAAAGCAATTTAAAATACGTGGAAATTCTTTCCATGATTGTTATTCGAAGAGTTATTTTTTGAGTTTCATTGTTAAAGACTTGAGTGTACTGAACTCATTGCCTTAATCAAGATCTATGAAAAGTGACAGGAAAAATACATTTCTGTCAGTCTGCCCCAGGGCAGCTGTGGCTACAACTGTAGCTTGCCTCCACCAGTGTGTGAATGTGAGAGTGAATGGGTGGATGACTG